CTCAGGCAGGGGAAGCAGATAGTCCCAAATCACTGAGTCAATGGAGGGCCTGGGAAGCCAGAACCTGCGCCTTTTAACCACCGGCGGGCGCCCGCCTCTCACGCCGTCCCTTCTCTCTTCTCCCTAGCTCGGCGCCATGGCGTCCCAGGGTCGTCGGCGGAGGCCGCCGCGGAGGCCCGAGACGGTAGTGCGGGGGGAGGCGGCCGAGACGGACTCGGAGCTCTCTGCGTCCTCGTCGGAGGAGGAAGAGCTATACCTGGGTCCCTCGGGCCCGACGCGCGGTCGCCCCACGGGGCTGCGGGTGGCCGGAGAGGCCGCGGAGACCGACTCAGACCCAGAGCCGGAACCGACGGCTGCGCCGAGGGACCTGCCTCCGCTCGTGGTGCAGCGGGAAACGGCCGGAGAGGCCTGGGGCGTGGAGGAGGCCCCGGCGCCCGCTCCAGCGCGCTCGCTGCTGCAACTCCGGCTGGCAGAGAGCCAGGCGCGACTGGACCACGACGTGGCGGCCGCGGTGAGCGGCGTATACCGCCGCGCGGGTCGCGACGTGGCCGTCCTGGCTGGTAGGCTGGCGGCCGCCCAGGCGGCGGGATTGGCGGCCGCCCACAGCGTGCGCTTGGCGCGGGGAGACCTCTGCGCACTGGCCGAGCGCCTGGACATCGTGGCCGGCTGCCGCCTGCTGCCCGACATTCGCGGCGTACCGGGGACCGAGCCCGAGCAAGACCCGGGACCTCGGGCCTAGCCATGACCCACTCCCCGCCTGACTCTGCGCCCTGCGAGAGGCCTTGAGACCTGTGGGACCTGGCCCTGTACCCCGTATTGCTCCCTTCCCATCTTGCTTGTCACCCTCAGGGCTAACCCCACCCTTTGGATAACCGTGTGTGTGTTGTGGGTGGGGTAATGGTGCTCAGCCCCGCCCCTCGCATCTGGTTCCTCCCCTTGGTCCTGGCCCAGCTCCCTGGTTCTGAGTCTGTCTGAGGCTTGGCTCCAGCTCCTGGGTAACTAACTGGCCACTCCTTGATCCGTCTCTATCCTGGGGGCTCACTGTGCCCCATCTTTCCTTGTGCTCTGCATTCCTGAGTTTGGTTTCTGCACCTGGGAGCTGATGCAGGTTTTTTTCACAGGAGCCCCAGATTCTGCACAGATTCTCTTGCACCTTCCATCACCCCCTTGGCTCTGCCTCTAGTCCTAGCAACACTTCTGGAATTTTGTCCTCCTAGTCTGGGCCCTTTTTCTGCTCTCCACGCATGGCCCTGGTTCCATCTCCTGGTTCTAGTCCTTGCTCTGCCATCCGGCTCCTCCTCCTTGGGCTTAGCCCCTCCCCCAGGCTTGAGCTTTCCTGGATCCAGTTGTACCCTTAGGATTGGTTTTGCTGCTTTTTTGCTTTTCCCATCCTGCTTCTACCACCTGCCTGATCCTGGGCTCCAGAGACTCCCTACAGTTTCCTTCATTAGGCCCAAGATGGG